GAGTTTGAGCAAGATTTAAAAATTATTATTTATATTAAAACATTATTTGAATCTAATTTAATAATTTTTATTCTATTGCATAATTAATACTTTTAATTTATTATAAATCTTTGTAGCGTTGTAGCCAATTAACTTTTTTAAAAATACTACTCATCATATTCATTTTTTAAATTAATGTAGTCATATTTTATATGTGATATGAAAGATTTGGGTGGTCTAAATGTAAAAAAAGTAGTGTTTAGGTGTTATACATGTAAATGCGTGGGAATTGGGTGGTATGCATGTAAATGCCCCAAAATTTTAATAGGTCTTTTCTCATGATGTTTAACTCTATCTTATGTGTAGAATAAATACGACCAAAATACTACTTTTATACAATGCTTTTGACCAACAATAAAATTAAATTTTAAATATATTTTATTTTGACACGTGTGTTTTTTTTTTTTTTTTTTTTTTTATTTTCATATCTAACGTGTAAGCTTTATTTATATTTTTATATGACCCAATTCAATTCATTCATATCAAATAAAACGTATCCCCACTTTTAAGAAGAGAAATAGCACACCTTCTCATGCATCGGTATGGGAGCATATGTCAAGTACAAATTAATCATTTGGCATGAATTTTGAGGAATTTTTTGAGCAATTTTTTATAACGAGACAATTTTTTGAGCAAGAGATGTTTAGAGCTTGATTAAAAATAATTCAAAGTTTTGATTTCAACATTTATATTCAAATTGATCGGCTCAATGAGATGGGCCCAATGATAACAAAATTATCCAATCTGAGTCAAATGATCAAGCATAGATAAAGTCATTAAATAAATTTTGAAATCATTCAATACACAATTGGAAGGTCAAATGGATTTCAAATCTGACAAATTTATAGTCAAATCGAGCGTGACGAATCCAATGAGTCAAAGATCACACAATTCTTTCATCATTAAGGAACTCAAATATTCACCGAATGTCGTCCGCTTAAGGGAATCTCTCTGAGTCATCCGATGGAGTGGTCTGAATTCCTTCATTATTTGCAGAGAGGCCTCTCATATACTCTATAAATAAAGCTTTACCCCCTCTTGAGAGGATGAGAGACATTGAGCCAAAAGAAGGCCGAAGTTTAGAGGAGGGGCTAAAGTTCAGCATTGCTTCTGTATTATAGATTCAAAGAATTTCTCACTTCTACAACTGCCAACCACTGTAAACCATCGTATATCAACCCGTTAACCACGATCAGCAACAACTTAGTCCTTGCAACAAAGTTTCTTATGTAGCCACATCGTGCATTACAAAATCCTAGCGTACATTGTGAAACAAAAAAGTGTGTCGTTGAGCAATGTGTCATCCAATACAATGTGCAGCAAAAACCTAAAAAACGGTGTAACTATGCATGCAATGAATATGATGGTGTAATAATGCATCCCACATATGCTGCAACAATATCTCTGAAATGGGGTGTTCAATACACCCGAAGACTGTGAAAATGAATTGGCTACTAAAGTTCTCTCCTTACAGCCCACCACTATGACCTACATGATCAATTATGACTTACGTAATCCACAACTCATGTAGCTTTCGACTCCAGTCTCTTTGGCATACAGACATCAACACAGCTCACCATTACGGCCTACGTGGTCCACACCTCGTGTAACTCCTAACTCTTGTTTCCTATAAATATCATCATAGTTCACCACTACAATCTATGTGGCCAACTATGAACTATGTGGTGCACAGTTCCTCGCTCCTGGCTTCAATCTTTTTGGCCTCCAGTTGTCATCATAGCTCATCACTATGATACACATGACTAACTATGACCTATGTGGTCTGCAGCTCTTAACTCTGGCCTAGGTGGCCTATGAACATCATCACAACTCACTACTATAGTTTACATGGTTCATAGCTTGTGCAACTCCTGATTCTAACCTCTTGGGCCTATGGGCATCATCGCAGCTCACCGATACGCCATTCATGCCCAACTACACCCAATGTGGTCCACAGCTCATGTAACTCCTAGCTCATACCTCTACAGCCTACGAACGTCATTACAGGTCACCCTATGACATACGTTATCAACTACAGACTACGTGGTCCACAACTCGTGCAACTCTCAAATTTGGTATTTGCAACCTATAGACATCATCATAAGTTGACACTACAACCAACATTGCTCACAGCTTGTGCAAATTTCAACTCTAGCTTCTATAGTTAACGCATGCTCCTAAAGTAACCATCTGTGGCCTAAACTACTAACTACTACCATGAATTTCAACTACGATCTATATAAAAAACCAGCGCTATAGCCACCATCTACAACATTAATGGTAGACTACTACTTCATAACAATCGATTACGACTCCTGCAGCCTACTATCTGCGAAACTACATTCATTACAACCAGTGAGTCATACTAGACTTATTATCTAAGTACTATTGTGGTACATTTATAGTGATCAACTTTGTAACTTTATTTTCTCTAATTCAGGATAAAAGTATACCTATTTACTCACCATTCATAGCGGTTTAGTTCACCTATGTCAGACTTCGTGGTTTTTTTTCCCTTTTTAGAGTTTTCTACGAAAACATTTATGTTTCTCCTTCTGCTTACTTCTTTTTTATTATATGAATGTGTGATGGGTTTTTGTGCAACTTTAAGTTGATAAGTCAGTATTC